TTGCGCGTGTTTGTGTGTGTGTGTGTGTGTGTGTGTGTGTGTGTGTGTGTCGGAGGTTCGTGCAGTTTTCCACTCAGAACACCAGAATCACTCGACAAAGCTCTCAACCGTCCTGAGCCATGGTTCTGCTCCAGGTTTCTGCCTGTTAAAAGGAAGTTTTTCCTTGCCTGTGTCGCCTAGTGTTTGCTCATGGTGGGAATTGTTGGGTTTCTGTAGTTAACTTCAGAGTAGGGTCTGACCTGCTCTGTTTGGAAAGCGCTGTGAGACAACTGTTGTTGTGATGTGGCGCTATATAAATAAAATTGAATTGAATTGAAATTGAACCCTCAGCCTTTTTCTCCAGGAGCTCCACAGCTTAAAGAGCCCAGATTCTGGGATCTGTAATGAGATGGAATCCCCCCGTCCACTCGTTAAACATCCACCATGATGCAAACATGCTTCCAGTAAGATGACCAAAACTATGTGGACGTCACAGAAAAGGCCACGCTTCTTTAGCAGCCTCCACTGGCTCAAGACTTTTTGTTAGCTTTGAGAAATCCAGGTTCAAAGAATTAATCCCCTTCAGATAAAGGGAAACCATGTGAGGTGACATGTTCAGAGTTCATACAGTTCTTTCAAAATGTGCATTCTGCCGGGCTTGAACGATTCATATTTCAGGAGAAACAGCTCCTCATAGGCCCCGCCCACTCCAGCACGCATCACACAGGTGCTATGATTGTGTTACTCTGACATAAAAAATACAACAACAACACTGTGGTGGAGATGGCAGCTTTCCACTTGATGAAGAAGAAGTAGAGACTAGTGGTCAAACCCAATATGAGCTTCTGGTTAACCGGACCACTCAAAGATCTATTCAATCACTACTAATATATTGGCATTATCATTATCACTTATTTCATATCTATATATATACGCATATAGCTACATATACATATAGTTGCATATGTATATATCTATTTATATTTTGTGTGGAATGTTGTTTATATATATATATATATATATATATATATATATATATATATACAGTATATAGACATATATACAGTGGGGGAAATAAGTATTTGACCCCTTGTTTGCCCACTTACAAAGAATGCTTATTTTTCCTCATCAGATGGTTATCAATTTTTTATAAATTCATATGATGTGATTTTCTGGAATTTTCTTTGGGATTCTGTCTTTCACTGTTTGAATGTACATATGATTAAAGTTATAGATCGTTGCATTCTTTGTAAGTGGGCAAACCTGCAAAATCAGCAAGGGGTCAAATACTTATTTCCCCCACTGTATATCTATATACTGTTGTATTGCTGGAGTTGGAAACAAAACTAATTTCCCTCTGGGATTATAAAAGTATTTCTGGTTCTGATAATATTTGCAAGAAGTTTCCGCCCTGATGATGTGGTGATAATAAGCATTGAGAGCCTCCAAACAAATAAGACATCATCTGTTTCCGTATCTGTAGGAGCCTGATGTCCATCACAGATAAAGAAAAATCCAGAACATGCTTAAATCCTCATCTGAAGACATCACTGACATCAGTTAATCTTTGGAAACCAAACAAAAAAATGCTTAATATTTGGATATAGTGGAGATGTCTTCAAGTAACCCCTCACATTTTTCTTTCAGCCTCTTCACAGGAAGATTACAGCAGGCTGGAGAGGACAGAAGGAGAACAGGTAATTGCTCTCATTTCCGCCGCAGACAAAAGCCGACCTGCAGTCTGCTCTCAGATTACCGACTGTCACTCAAAGTCTGCAGGAAAGGAAACGCTTCCCTCTCTTTTTCCCCACGATGACGACCAATCTCTGGATATTATGAGTGTTTTTACTTCCAAGAACTGTAATTGACAGATGGCTTCTATTTGATTCATTTATTTACAGGTTTATTTATTTACAGGACTTGGACGGGGAACGTTTTGCTAGGAGATAATGGTGCTAAGGAGCGTTTTCCACTGTGTAGGCCCCAAATCAGTTATGGGATTAAAAGAAATACATGGAAAAATGAGCAATTTCGATTCCAACAACATACCCAAATCTAGTTGGTAGAGAGGCAAATCAACAACTATTTACAGAATATGACAGAATATTCTGTAAATATTGAATGACAATAAAAGGAGAATCCACCAAAAGCTTCATCTCCCAAATTTATGAATTCTGTATAAAAAAATTACCGATAAAAACTGGAAAAAAACTTTTTTTTTTTTTATATCTCCACAGCACAATATTGTGATTGTGACTCAGGAAGTCAGACCAAATATTACGGTAAACAGGAATTCAGAGAGCCCTGTAGGAAGCCATGCTACCTTCATCACCAGGATCTCAGGAGTACCTCACAAAAACAAAACTTTCCCTACATAGAGATTAATCTAAGATAGACAAAAGCGTTTCCTGTTGCAAGATGATACAGCCAATAAAGTCAAAGATCAGTGAGGCCATGAAGGCATAAATCCTGTACCTGTGACTATATGAGTGTTTATTGGCATCTATGGACCTGGTGACGCATATGTGTGATGGTACCATTAATTATAGGAGCAGGTTAGACTTTTGGACTCAGTTCCTAAGCGGAGGTGCTGTGAACAGATTGCTGATCATTCCTGGGAATTAACTTTTCAGGCTATTCCTACTGGTTCCCAACTTATTGTTCGATTTTTGTTTTAGTTTTTAACCACAATGGGCTGATATGAGCATGTTACAGATCTGTGCAAAGGTGAGATGGTGCGTTCAGCCTGAAAATAAAGTGTGAGTGTATCACACCTCTGGAGCTGAATCTGCTTACTTGGCTTGTTGTGTGTCAGCAAACAGCTAGCGTAATACTAGCATGATAAGATCGATCTGATGAGTGAATTACAAAATATTAGCAGCAGCGGCTTATCACTGCCTCCTTTTCCGGCTGATTTAATGAGTGAAAAGTCAAGTGACAATACTTTTCTGTGCACTTGAATCCATTAACAGGAAGAACACAACATCAGATTTGTACAATGACATAATGAGAATTTTGAAATGAAATGAAATTGCAGATAAAAACTTGAAAAAATAATAGAAAAAAAGTAATAAAAACATATATATCGTCAATATCAACCAGGTGATGCATATGTGTGATGGTAATATTCCTGTATTTGACTATTTATTAAGGTTTAAATGAGTTAAATCATTGATTCCCATTTTTGTTTCAGTTTACAAATGCATGCACTCTAAAAAAGAACGTGTTGGCTCAACTTAAAAAATTGATGTAACAATTTGCATAGATTTTTTTAAGTTGTTTCAACTTAGTCATAATTGAGTCAGTTCCACAAGGTTTATCTGGTTAGACAAACTAATTTACTTTAGTACAGGCAACATGATTTTCTTTGTCCTTTACAAGCTTAATTAAGTTGAACCAACTTAATTTTCTTTGTGTAAAATGACTCCTTTTAGTTCTGGAACCAATTTATTTTCCTTGGATTCTACTCAAAAATGTCTACGCAAATTGTTACCTTATTTTTTTTAGCAATATCAACTTATTTATCTAAGTTAGAATAAATTACACAATTAAATTCAAGTTGTATGAACAGTTTATTCAAGACTGCATATTGACATTTTAATAGCACAAAACTGTAGCAATAAAAGAAATACTATAAAACAGCCCAGTAAAACTCCTAGAGATAACTAACATTTTGACAGTAATGCTGATCAGACTGTTATCTATTATTTTCATCACTGAAAATGCATAATTTGTAACTGCACTATACAATAGGTGAACTAAATTACACACGAGCCCCATGAGCAAGGCACAGGCTCTGGGAATATCCACACCTGTTAAGACCTCTGTTCCCTCTATGATGATCCTTGCATGGGCTGGATCCAAGCCACCTCGTGTTGTGACAATCTTCATCAGTTGGTCCATACTGTCCCCTTCTCCATCCTAGTAGGTCAGAATTAAGATAAATGTTTAAAGGGTTTGTAGTGGGTTGGAAAATGCAACATATATTCACTATGTTATTTTTTAAAATCTTATGTATACAATAACCACAGGAAAACAATATATCTCTATGTGAAGTATAGTGGTGTCTGATTTACCTCATCTTTGAAGAGTTGCTCCTCCTTTTCCTTAGGTAGACCATTAAGCCATGGATGGCAGCCTCCTTTTGTGTCTCCTTTTGTGTCAAAATTGTCCTGTGAATAAGAAAAAGAGTGTTGAACTCCTCTAGGAAGATGGATTGTTGATCATAACATCAAAATTACATCACATAATTACATCATTTGATGAAATTATGACAAACAAGAGAATCAAAAGCTTTAAAACTAGCCTATTACAAAGAAATGGGCATTAGGCAAGTACACACGCACAACTATCTTAATAACGTTAAGACCACTCCTGTGCCTTTGGCATCTGTCTTGAAGAGCAAACCGTAGCTTTGCATGATAACCTACAATGGCCCCACAACTTTTGCTGGTCAAAACTTCAGTGACAGCCCGACAATTTAAAATTTGAAAGAGGCAAAATGGTTATTGTTTTATCTTCGCAAAGTTAAAACTACTGCTATAAAGTTCATATTTCACCATAAAAAAAAACTTAAAGACTAAAGTTATGGCTGAATTACGACGCCAATTAGCTAAAAGTCTAACATTTCAAGCTTAAATTTTACCTAAGGTTAGCAAAAACAAAAAATCATTCAAAATTGTGCAAAACGATTTCTTGTACTGTGTGCTGATGGAGTTATTAGCTAAGGTTAGCTGAATAAAACAAGTAAAAACATTATACTCACCAAGTCTTAAAGTTCTTAAATCCTTGTATGTGGTCTGCTCCTTTCCCTCCAAAAAGCATGGTCTGACAGCAAACCAAGTCCAGGCAGGTCAGCCGTGTACTCAGCTTTTAATGGACACTTAAAATATGTTTAAGTTGTACTAACTTAAAAACTTAAGTAACTTACTTCTAAGTTAAGTTAAGGTTGAAATGTCTGTTAAAAATTCATTCATTATTGAGTTAAGACTATTTTCTTTATTTTAATTTAAACCAACTTACTAAATTAAGTTATCAACTCATTATTATGTGTATATGTAATCAACACATTTTTTTATGCTGAAAAAGCATTTGATTTTGAGCTATACCTACTAACCCCATGAATCATTTCTTAGAGCATCTCTCCTTGACCAGAGGTGTGTGAGCTTTTCTAACTGTACCTTTGAGAGGGTGTATTTTGTGCTTGTGTGTGTAAATATCTGCGGCTTTATGTCACACCGGAGTCTTCTCCC